AAAACATAGAGGATTAGATTTTCAAATTACTTTCAATATTCTATTTCTGCTTTATTAATTCAGATATTGTTTTGGCAAAGAATGTTCCAACTTTATAATATTTGTTGTTGATCGAATGTCGTAAATGTATTGATATTTTAGACTTAAAACATCAATGTTATGTTTCTTCTCGTGTTAAAGTATTTTATGGTAAATTGTACAAGATGATATAAAATGTACGACTTCGTCAAAATAATCTAAACCTATGAATCAGCAGATGAATTACTGAAGAAAAATAGCTACAGTTAAACAATTACACTTGGAATAGTCAATACCTTTTTCATTATCTTGTCCCTGGAAGAACTTTTCAATGTCGGCGTTTTCTCTGGCCATTTCATCGTGTTTTTCCTGTAGCACAATCTGGTTTTTCTCTAGCTCTTCTGATTTAGCTTGATATCTTGTAGAACAATCAATACATTGATATTTAGAGACGAACTGACATTCAACATTTGCATATATTGGTTATATCTTATTACATCTCAGTAGATTTAAGAGCAACCATATTTGCGACTAATTGTTTCATTCATTTAAAGCAAAAACATTCTTCTTATTACGCTATTGTACCAGATGTTTGACGACACCATACACAAACTTCACCCCTTTGATTGTATATTATAGCAATAAGAAGTCCATAAAACGATTTTTTTATTCAATCCGTTAAAACCACTCGCCTTTTTGTGAATATTATTTATTTCAACTGCTTATAAAAGGCTGGTTATCTAGCAACGTAACAGCCTACTGATTCAGGCTTATTTAAGTGGCCTGTTTACCTGTAAAGTTATTTAAACTGTTATTTAACCTGTTAAGGCTATTAAGGGCATGAATCTTATCTACATTACAGAAAAACACGATTGTCATCTATACCCGATACATAACAATAATAATATACAACATTTTATAAGCTATGGCATACAACTGTCTTTAAACGTAAAACAAACGCTGTCTGTGTCTTAGGTGGCTATACATAAATATAACGGGTGACACAGGTGAAGCGGGTATGAATCGTTTTACTTCCAGAGTACCTGGTCTCCATTGCACCATCAACTAACGAAAACTTGGCATGCATCATGAAACAATAGATTAATTAATGAAATCGATTATTCATTATTTTTGTTTTTATTATTATTTTGAATTCCCTCTTGATTATTATAATTGTCGTGCTTAATTTTTATTAAGTTTTCAATAAATAATTGTAGTCTTTGTTTATGTTAGATGAGTGCTGTGACGAAATAGAAAGTAAATACAATTTGATTTTTATTCAATTCAATTTAGACAGTCAAAGTGACAACTGAGCAATACATGTGACTAGATCTGTTATAAGTCCCTTATATATGTATTATATCCCACTATGTTTTATAAACAGACAGATAAGTAGAAAGCTAAATATAATAAACAACATAAGCTAACAGATAAGGAAAAATTACATTTCTTCAAATAAATTGAGGAGTTTAACTAAAGCCGAGTCTAGGCCTATAGAAATATTATTTTACATTATACTTCGTCACAAGAATGTACGTGTATATAAAGAAATGCACTCACTTCATCAGCTGAAGTTCTAAATCCCTAATCTGCATAAATATGAAGTCTTTGGACATATCATTGACGCTGTCTGCGGACATTTTAGACGGTGACCCACGTCCAGACTTTCCGCTCTTCTTCCCTTTCTTTCCACTCTTTTTCTTCTTCGGTGGCATGTTAAATTCTTGTAGTCAAATGAGTTCCTACAACAACAAACACCAAATCAAGTATGGCGTCGATCTACAGTTTAATGGTGTATACAACACGTCCAATCAAGCTTAATTGTCAGAGGCTAGTTTAGACAATAGCGGGGATTCCTTAGCTACGGCTATAAAAAGAACACCAGGGATATGGTAGGACGGGTACATATAGTAATAGATATGTAGACTGACGAATGCGTCAGCACGGACATAAGTTTATACAACTCTATAACGATACCAATCTCGGGGTACTATTGTTTATGGTCACATCCTGAGTATGGTTTAAATACCCGACGCACAGGAATCCTACAACTAGCTATCAGTGTTATTAGACTATACTAATTAACGTCATATTTTCTACATTGTTGTTGTTGTTTGTGCATGATTATGCATTCGATATTTATACACAATATATAAAATGCACTTCGTTATTTCGAACTGAGATGTATATTATATACCTCCTTTATCTGTACGTTTAGTTACGTAACAGTTTATAGCTATAAACTGTAAGCTATAAACTGTAAAAACTGTAAATACCCTATTACTATCAAAGTGTCTTTATCCCGTGGCAATTAATGCTCATTTTTTCCGGTTTATCCCACATTGATCGGGCGCTATACTGCGATAGATCGCCATGGTGTTTACAAACAATATCGTATCGTTTGCTTCTTCTAGTCAATGAGTCAATGATGAGAATTTTCCTTTTTCAAGAACACGCAATACATACCAACATAGTTATTTATCAAGTTTATCAATGTCTTAAACCATTTAATCATTTTTTATGTTATAACATCGTTTTGGTTTTCTTGCTTTTTTTCATATATATGTTTTCTACAAAACGAAAAAAAATCTAAATGTGAATTACTAGAATGATACTTTATATCCTACTTGGAGAAAAACTTTACATAATTGTACAACATGATTCTTTTATCCTTCAAGATTTACAACAAAGAATGTTTATCAACTTAAATGTGTATGAACCAATGGATACGCGTTTTGGAACGAGAATCCCTATGGTGAAATATTAGAAAAGATGACCCTTACACACACAGGTGATAGAACTTTTAAAAGGCTAAAAATGATAAACACTGCATTATACGTCTGTTTCGTCCTTACAGGACTTCTCGGTGATGCTAGGAGACAAAACGTTAATAGACTGACCAGGTTTGGTTTGGTTTTATTTTGTTTAACGTCCTATTAACAACTAAGATAATTTAAGGACGTACATCCATGTGTGTTGTGTAAACGTGCATTTGTGTGTGTGCCGGAGACAGGGTATGTTGGTGTACTTGCCTCCGTGTGATAGCGCGGATCTGATGCCGATNGAGAATGTAAGTGAGCGTCACCCCTGGAATTTCAAAGGTGTTTCTCACTGTACATAACGATAAGGTGTGTGCTAATATCTGTTAAAAGGTTTTTCTCACTGTACATAACGATAAGGTGTGTGCTAATATCTGTTAAAAGGTGTTTCTCACTGAACATGACGATAAGGTGTGTGCTAATATCTGTTAAAAGGTGTTTCTCATTGAACATAACGATAAGGTGTGTGCTAATATCTGTTAAAATGTGATTCTCACTGTACATAACGATAAGGTATGTGCTAATATCTGTTAAAAGGTGTTTCTCACTGTACATAGCGATAAGATGTATTCTAATATCTGTTAAAGGGTATTTCTCATTGTACATAACGATAAGGTGTGTGCTCATATATGTTAAAAGGTATTTCTCACTGTACATAACGATAAGATGTATTCTAATATCTGTTAAAGGGTATTTCTCACTGTACATAACGATAAGGTGTGTGCTAATATATGTTAAAAGGTATTTCTCACTGTACATAACGATAAGATGTATTCTAATATCTGTTAAAGGGTATTTCTCACTGTACATAACGATAAGGTGTGTGCTAATATATGTTAAAAGGTGTTTCTCACTGTACATAGCGATAAGATGTATTCTAATATCTGTTAAAGGGTATTTCTCACTGTACATAACGATAAGGTGTGTGCTAATATATGTTAAAAGGTGTTTCTCACTGTACATAGCGATAAGATGTATTCTAATATCTGTTAAAGGGTATTTCTCACTGTACATAACGATAAGGTGTGTGCTAATATATGTTAAAAGGTGTTTCTCACTGTACATAGCGATAAGATGTATTCTAATATCTGTTAAAGGGTATTTCTCACTGTACATAACGATAAGGTGTGTGCTAATATATGTTAAAAGGTGTTTCTCACTGTACATAGCGATAAGATGTGTTCTAATATCTGTTAAAGGGTATTTCTCACTGTACATAACGATTAGGTGTGTGCTTACATATGTTAAAAGGTGTTTCTCACTGTACATAACGATTAGGTGTGTGCTAATATCTGTTAAAAGATGTTTCTCACTGTACATAACGATAGGATATGTGCAAATATATGTAAAAGACATTCATACAGGTGATATATCGATTGTCACAAGCAAAGGATAACGTATAACCCTCAGTATACAGAGGTGAAACAGGTTTGTCGTTTGACAAGTTTGACTCAAAGTGTATTACTGATTTAATATTGTAAGTCATTAATTAAATAAATAGTTGCACACCTATATTGTATGTAACAGCTTAACTAATCGACAATAAGTGTTATTACAGATGAACTTCATTGCTCTTTCGAGCATGGTGCGTATTTTTAAAGGCTCAGTACACCCTTGATAAACATTCTCACATTTCTTTACGTTTCAAGTTATAGAATTCAGAACAGAACTGCAAACATGTCTAATGCCGCTGGATAGTTTGTTGGTTATCATGTATATATAACTGGATAATAAAAAGCGTAGTGTTGTACGTCAATATCTTGAGAAATAATGAGTCATTAAAATTGTTGGACAAAATACAAAACAAGCCTATATTTTCGGGGTTCTTTCTTTTGTACAGAGAACGTTTTGCTCGAGTGTAGCTATTTTGAATTTGAAGTAAACAAGAAACCGAAGCAAAAACGGCAAATTACTTTTTTCACATTTTTTTTTTTATTTTCAACATCGACCTATATTCCGATATGAGAATAAGCCTTCACGTTCTGACATAAGTCCATTTTTTTCTTATTTCAAAAGAATCATTACATTACATGCAGAATTTAGGAAAATACAACTAAAAACTTTCATTTTTGGAGAAAAACACCATAAAACTTGTTTTGTATATCAAAGTTTTACTTTATACCCCATCAATGTACGTATTAAACGTTAATGTTTAAAGTAAAACTTTGATATTACATTTTTTCAAACTGATGAATTTTATTGACACAAGGAATCCACGCTTGTCTGATATTATCATGAGAGTCTAAATGAGAAAACAATAATTTTATAATTTCATATTGGTTCAGTTAAATGCCAAACAACTTAAATAAATCATGAGGAAAATGTTATATTCAGAAAGTTTGTTGGTAATATATTCTGTACAATTTTTACATTGTGGGCTTATTCCACGGATTTACTATCGAAAATATTGAATTACGCATGAACAAGATACTTATGTAGTAACACAAAGTAAAATAAAGTAAAATATTGCAATTGAACAATATACATTCTACAAGATTTGAATTCGTTTATTTATAAATAATTCATTCATAAGTTAGAGATGCTTTGTGTGTATATTATTATATACATTTCAATGTTGCCGCACGACAAAGGCCGGCTAGAATGTGCATATCTCCTAGTACTTAAACGTAAGACAAGAGTAATCAGACCAATTCATAATGTCATGTATCAGCAATGTCTATAGTATAACATCAGTTAGCATGACATGTATACCAGCAAGGAAACAGTCAGTATGAAGTCGAGTAAGACCAAAGATTATTTTAAAGTTTAAACTAAAATGAAATTCTGAAACTAAATTCAAGGAATCAGCACAGAACTGTCCGGAACAGATTTTAAGTTACATTTTGTATTTCAAATTTTTACTATTGTTATATCATGGAGCTAAAGTTTATATGTTACATTATTTCCCCTTTCTGTTTAACCATACTTATATCGTAATAATCTACCTCATACGTGAAAACCTTTATAAGAATGGATTTGAAATGGATAGTGAAGTTGGTTACGTAATCTTGTAGCCCTTTCCGTAAAGCATCCGTTTTGCTGGGCTGATGGGGCCGGCATTGCCAATAGGTGTACCACGTGACCTGAGCTGATCCCGAGAGTGTTCCCGTCCCTGGTCGTGTAGTAAAGTCTGTTGTTGTCTTGGAGTGACATTGTCGAGGAGGTGGTCAGCGTAGTACAAAGCCTGGAATCAATGATAGCAACAGTCAGGTATCTATATATCATGTCAGTCTATCATACTTCAGTACTCAAGCGGCCTGGCTACATCATTTCTACTACTTTGAGTTAGCCTCAAACTCAATTTAAGCTGATCTTAACATACGTTAATATGTGGGAGATCAACTTTAAATTTATCTTAACGTGATGTTGATTATAGGGCTTGATATTGTCATGTTGCTAATTCCTCGTATAACTTTAGATAGCACGAAAATAAGGCCGTGCTACCTGATTACGTTTTGATGTTAATCCCATTATTCATAAACAAAACAATTTGTTGAAAATATACATACATATCAATTGCAATTTATCCGATACATCATCAACACATTTATTACCGGTTATACGAGTTATGAAATGAACTCCATATTGTATAAGTCAAGAGAACAAAAATATCAAATAAAAAAAAAATGTCACATTCATTTACCTATATAACGGAACCTAGCTTCATTTAATTTTGTAAACACATTTATGTCAATTTTGTTTAACCGATAGAACATGCCTTAGGAGTCAGCCATAATTACCTTCGGTGCACTCACTGTCTGTACACCCACAGAGTTCGTGAGCATCTTGCGGAGTTCTCCTAGCCTAGTGGTTGCTGACTTAACTCGCATCTTATCAACACTGGTAGGTATTGGATTTGCAGGACGCGGAATTATACCCAAGTCTCCAGGCTGATAATGAAACAATGTGCCCTTGTTATTGGTGGCTATCGGCGAAACCGGAAGTGCGCTAAATACAAAGTTAAAAGGTCATGTGAATCAATAGTACTGTCTTACAGCATCAATATACTTTTTATTAGAATTGCATTATTGATTAGCACGTTCCAATAAATTTGCGTGCATTATATTCACAGATCAAAACTACAATCAATAGCTGTGAAGTAATCACGATGGAACACGTATTATCAAAGTTTTACCCTAAAAACCAACAATTTACGATTTAATTTGTGTATAAAGTAAAAATTTTGATTCAAAATTAGTTCCAAACCGATTAATCTTATTGAAGATACGATGCTTCAAGATGTTCATTCAGCTTATATAAGATTGGACAACGTTCAAAATAGGCTAACTACTAACCCTCGTTTCAAGGAATTTTTCCCGGGTATTTCACTGGCACTCTTCTTTCGTATTCTGTATTTATCTTGACTACTTTTTCCAGACTTGGGAGTGGTCACCATGGTAACCATCCCAAGAAGCTCTTCCAATAAAGCGTTTTTGCGATCTGTTTCGTTTTCCTCTTCCATTCCGTACACAGGAGTAACAGCTCCCGTGACAGCTTCTTTCTGAAAAATAACGGTTTTATAAATTAAAACAACTTGTCTGTGGCCACGCTCTTATCTTAATTATGAATTACAGGAAGAGTGCTTACATTAATTTGACTGGAAATTCAGTAAGACTTACCGTGAGCACCTCTCTGATGGTACTAGAAGCGTTACTGAGGACCTCGCCTAATTTCAACATATCACGGTTTTCCTTCCTCAACTTCCCTTTCACATCTCGTATCTCCTCCCTCAGACGTTTGTTGTCATTGATGAGCTGTTCTTTGTGCAACCTTTAAATCATACGGATTTCCAAAACTTGTTATGATCCTTTTTAAAGATTGCATAATTTTCAAGTATATCTTTGATATACCATATATGTGTCTGTTATACTTAAAGTGTTTTAGGTAGTCAGTTATCTAGATTATTTAGTGTTTTAGTGGGTGCATTAGCAATATTGATGTCGATTTTATTCAGAATCATGTGCTGCAATAGTTCGCAGAATTCGGTCTTTGTATGAAGATATGTTTGAGTTACGTCAAGCTATTTGAAGGACACACCCATATCTACATATGTAATTATATTATAATAAATGAAATATACAAATTATTGCAAGACTTATAAAAACAAGAATTCAGATTAACAACAGAAACGACGTCACAGTGTTAGTGGTACTAAAATACCCACACACATAACATTATTTAAGCATGAATAGATTAACTAACTTAGCAATTACTATTCGTATCAATGAATGATACCTGTGTTTAATGTGATGAGTATGATAACCGTACCTCTGAGCCTCTACTTGGGGCACTAGGATAGCACGATCACCGTCCAGGTCCTGGAAGGCATGATCTCGCATTTCCATTTCCTCTAGCAATTCCTTCATGTGTTGACTCCTGCCTTTAAGCATCTTTATTATCTGATAAATGAATTTTGTTTTAATTAATAATGACTGACATGCTGTTCAAAGATATCTAGCTGTTGAAAGGATTGAAAGTTTGATCATCAAGCAAACTCAGCATGCTTTGTATAGTTTATGTTTGTTTCATAATACATCGATGACGCCGGTTTGGTTCACTATAGTGTTATTGCGCCCTGATGAAAATTTGCAATGTGGTGTGGTAAAAAGACATACCCCGTTGATGCAAGGCTCTGCCAGAAATCATTTGATCAGATCTATGTTTATAAGTACAAATTGTATACCATATGAATAACGATTGGTTGCGGCATATGCCATATCGTTCTTCTACGTGTTATTTTTTGTAACTGATTTATTTGTGATTATTTAATTAATATTAAAGAAAAAAACACAAGCCCTATTGTATTTATTTATTTATTTATTTTATTTTTTTTGCTAAGTTAGCCAAGTTGTTCCGTATGAATATGTAAGCTAGCGAAACGATGAACAAATCGTCGTTTTCTGAAGAAGACCCGTGGAATGATCTCTGTTGCAACAATAATACCTTTCAGAAACAATGCAATTTGTCACGAGTGCTCATGGGTAGATGCTACTGTAGGTTTCCTTTTTTCTATCGGACACAAACATAGCCAAGCATGACACGATACATTTCAGCCAATCAAAGGCCGTTTGATAGACTGAATTCCATTGAGCTATTCCTTTTTGGTCTATTTTGCATATTGTAAAAAAGATTGTTCATAAGAAAGCATCTATGATAATGCATGTTATGTGTGAAAAACAATGTTGACTCTGTTTGCACTAGATGGGCTCTTAGAGAAGCACATATGGAGTACATTTTATGAGTTTCTGAATTAGCTTTGTTTTCGGTTAAACCGAAACAGTTGTAAGCGTACCTTTAGTGTTATTTGGACGACTTACTTCATATTTTTTGGGATATATATCAGGTCGAATAAGTTTTGAGAATTCACGATTGCTGCAGTAACCTCTGATTGGCAAAGACATTTCCAGATATAAATCTTATTATATTTTTCCGACTTGGTCCTTGTACAGTTAGCGACACATCTATATAGGGCGTATACTTCACATTACCAACTGACTTCTATGTTGCAGGATCAATCATGTCTTTGTTTGTTGGTGCATTCATGCCTTTCAATTGAATTGACGTGAATACCATATTTTGCGATGCATTTATTGCTACTGCGGGGTTAGTTTAACAATGCCTGTTGTCGCAAAATCTCATGTTTGCTTGTGATTGATACAATTTGTGTTTGTATAAATGTATTTGATTAGTTTTTGCCATATTAGGATGTCTCGGCGGTCAAAATAAAACTATGTACATAAATTGAGATATCGTTTTTGCGGGAGGAATTTACTCAGCACATTGTCATTTTATTTTTTCATTATTTCAATTTTGGGTTTTATTATTCTTTCCTTATGCTCATTTTTATGGGATTGTTCCAGCAAGGCGGATATTGCTCTACTTACCTTTACACTGCTGCTATTACTCTTAGCAAGTTCTTTTTCTCTTTCTTCCAATATCTTGATGCGCTCCTCTTGTTCCTCTACGCGTGCGCGAACCTCTGCGTTATCTGCCATTAGTTCCACAGTTTTGTCTGAGGTCTGGATTATCTCCCCTCGTATTGACACATTCTCCCGAATAGCTCGTTTTGTCGTTTCGGCCATTTGTTTGTTAGAAACTTTTCTAAAATCTGCAGCTCTTTGATTCACCTGGTCAACCATTTCTTTTTTCAATCTTAATAAAAAAAAATGTATAATCATGTTTTGGCATATCTTCAATGAATTGAGTTTACAGATGACAATAAATTCTTTTTTTATTGTTGTTTCTGTATTTGTACCTGAGTGTAAAATAATCTGTCTTCTAATACCCTCTTATACCCAGGATTTAAATCCTATTCTACACCCGACGCCCGACGAATTTAATCAGATTGGTTTGGTCATTTTGTAACGTGCATTTTCATGAAAACGTTATACTTCTGTTATTTGTCTTGTTCTCTAACTGTCGTTTAACTTAACATTATTAAAAACTGAAATCAGTTTGAATTTCTAAACGCTATGTTTCTATTTCAGAAGTCAGATTAACGAAGAAGACCTTTCTGTAACTAGTGTATGTTAGTATGAAGTATGAATGAGTTGTTCATTTCTAAACTGCACCTGTCTTTATCAACAATGGCCTTTAGACGGATGTTCTCTATGATATCCTTCTGGTCCTCGTCACTTTGTCGCATATGCTCCTCCATAGCTGCCACCATATCTATTCGTTCCTCTTTCCTCAATTTAAAATCCTCTAAGTCATTCAGTTGTTGACCTAGTTAAGAAATTCACATCATTATTAATATCCTTAAATCAAAATTCCGACTTATTATCCATTTCTATTCGCAACACTCATTTTAAATCATCAGATATTTTGTATTTAACCTTATGAACAATTGAACCTTCAAAACGTGATATGATTAATAATTAAATACACGGATTAGAAGTTTTTTTCTGAATCAGTACAATATTGTATATAATTAAACATATGACGATACATCATCGTAGAGATAGATGTGACCTATCGATTTTGAGTCTGGATCCAGCATTACTGGTGCAATGAAATGCAAGCGTACCTATACAGACTGTCCATACGAGGAAGCGAAATGGTCAAAATTGACAAAGGGACTTCAATGAAATTTCAATTTCGCTTACAAAAAAAGAACTACGCAAGGCAAAAGTTCAACTTGAAATTATAAAAATATTTGTGTTATGCTTACAAGTAGTGATTAAGAAAAGTTTACTGATAAATGTGTAGGTGTTGGATTAAATGTGTGAAATGTGAATATTACTGAGTAGGCTGTTCTCTGCTGTAAGACTCTCCTTTGTGTCCTGGAAGTCCTGACGGATCTGGTCAATCTGTCCATTGGCCCATTCCTTCTCCTCCTCGCGAGTCGTCTGAACACCATTGATCTCCTCCATGATCAGGGCCTTCTCCTGTTCTGTGAATTACCAAATTCAATGCGATCTGAATTTATCAATAGAAACAAGACCTACTCCCAACGTTATGCTGCTTTTACAAGGCAATACAATGTGTACGTAATTAGACAAAGGGAAAAAACATAGAGGATTAGATTTTCAAATTACTTTCAATATTCTATTTCTGCTTTATTAATTCAGATATTGTTTTGGCAAAGAATGTTCCAACTTTATAATATTTGTTGTTGATCGAATGTCGTAAATGTATTGATATTTTAGACTTAAAACATCAATGTTATGTTTCTTCTCGTGTTAAAGTATTTTATGGTAAATTGTACAAGATGATATAAAATGTACGACTTCGTCAAAATAATCTAAACCTATGAATCAGCAGATGAATTACTGAAGAAAAATAGCTACAGTTAAACAATTACACTTGGAATAGTCAATACCTTTTTCATTATCTTGTCCCTGGAAGAACTTTTCAATGTCGGCGTTTTCTCTGGCCATTTCATCGTGTTTTTCCTGTAGCACAATCTGGTTTTTCTCTAGCTCTTCTGATTTAGCTTGATATCTTGTAGAACAATCAATACATTGATATTTAGAGACGAACTGACATTCAACATTTGCATATATTGGTTATATCTTATTACATCTCAGTAGATTTAAGAGCAACCATATTTGCGACTAATTGTTTCATTCATTTAAAGCAAAAACATTCTTCTTATTACGCTATTGTACCAGATGTTTGACGACACCATACACAAACTTCACCCCTTTGATTGTATATTATAGCAATAAGAAGTCCATAAAACGATTTTTTTATTCAATCCGTTAAAACCACTCGCCTTTTTGTGAATATTATTTATTTCAACTGCTTATAAAAGGCTGGTTATCTAGCAACGTAACAGCCTACTGATTCAGGCTTATTTAAGTGGCCTGTTTACCTGTAAAGTTATTTAAACTGTTATTTAACCTGTTAAGGCTATTAAGGGCATGAATCTTATCTACATTACAGAAAAACACGATTGTCATCTATACCCGATACATAACAATAATAATATACAACATTTTATAAGCTATGGCATACAACTGTCTTTAAACGTAAAACAAACGCTGTCTGTGTCTTAGGTGGCTATACATAAATATAACGGGTGACACAGGTGAAGCGGGTATGAATCGTTTTACTTCCAGAGTACCTGGTCTCCATTGCACCATCAACTAACGAAAACTTGGCATGCATCATGAAACAATAGATTAATTAATGAAATCGATTATTCATTATTTTTGTTTTTATTATTATTTTGAATTCCCTCTTGATTATTATAATTGTCGTGCTTAATTTTTATTAAGTTTTCAATAAATAATTGTAGTCTTTGTTTATGTTAGATGAGTGCTGTGACGAAATAGAAAGTAAATACAATTTGATTTTTATTCAATTCAATTTAGACAGTCAAAGTGACAACTGAGCAATACATGTGACTAGATCTGTTATAAGTCCCTTATATATGTATTATATCCCACTATGTTTTATAAACAGACAGATAAGTAGAAAGCTAAATATAATAAACAACATAAGCTAACAGATAAGGAAAAATTACATTTCTTCAAATAAATTGAGGAGTTTAACTAAAGCCGAGTCTAGGCCTATAGAAATATTATTTTACATTATACTTCGTCACAAGAATGTACGTGTATATAAAGAAATGCACTCACTTCATCAGCTGAAGTTCTAAATCCCTAATCTGCATAAATATGAAGTCTTTGGACATATCATTGACGCTGTCTGCGGACATTTTAGACGGTGACCCACGTCCAGACTTTCCGCTCTTCTTCCCTTTCTTTCCACTCTTTTTCTTCTTCGGTGGCATGTTAAATTCTTGTAGTCAAATGAGTTCCTACAACAACAAACACCAAATCAAGTATGGCGTCGATCTACAGTTTAATGGTGTATACAACACGTCCAATCAAGCTTAATTGTCAGAGGCTAGTTTAGACAATAGCGGGGATTCCTTAGCTACGGCTATAAAAAGAACACCAGGGATATGGTAGGACGGGTACATATAGTAATAGATATGTAGACTGACGAATGCGTCAGCACGGACATAAGTTTATACAACTCTATAACGATACCAATCTCGGGGTACTATTGTTTATGGTCACATCCTGAGTATGGTTTAAATACCCGACGCACAGGAATCCTACAACTAGCTATCAGTGTTATTAGACTATACTAATTAACGTCATATTTTCTACATTGTTGTTGTTGTTTGTGCATGATTATGCATTCGATATTTATACACAATATATAAAATGCACTTCGTTATTTCGAACTGAGATGTATATTATATACCTCCTTTATCTGTACGTTTAGTTACGTAACAGTTTATAGCTATAAACTGTAAGCTATAAACTGTAAAAACTGTAAATACCCTATTACTATCAAAGTGTCTTTATCCCGTGGCAATTAATGCTCATTTTTTCCGGTTTATCCCACATTGATCGGGCGCTATACTGCGATAGATCGCCATGGTGTTTACAAACAATATCGTATCGTTTGCTTCTTCTAGTCAATGAGTCAATGATGAGAATTTTCCTTTTTCAAGAACACGCAATACATACCAACATAGTTATTTATCAAGTTTATCAATGTCTTAAACCATTTAATCATTTTTTATGTTATAACATCGTTTTGGTTTTCTTGCTTTTTTTCATATATATGTTTTCTACAAAACGAAAAAAAATCTAAATGTGAATTACTAGAATGATACTTTATATCCTACTTGGAGAAAAACTTTACATAATTGTACAACATGATTCTTTTATCCTTCAAGATTTACAACAAAGAATGTTTATCAACTTAAATGTGTATGAACCAATGGATACGCGTTTTGGAACGAGAATCCCTATGGTGAAATATTAGAAAAGATGACCCTTACACACACAGGTGATAGAACTTTTAAAAGGCTAAAAATGATAAACACTGCATTATACGTCTGTTTCGTCCTTACAGGACTTCTCGGTGATGCTAGGAGACAAAACGTTAATAGACTGACCAGGTTTGGTTTGGTTTTATTTTGTTTAACGTCCTATTAACAACTAAGATAATTTAAGGACGTACATCCATGTGTGTTGTGTAAACGTGCATTTGTGTGTGTGCCGGAGACAGGGTATGTTGGTGTACTTGCCTCCGTGTGATAGCGCGGATCTGATGCCGATTTCATAGTGCTGTCTAACTAAGATACCCTGCCGAAGGCACCCATCACAGCATTTCGCCCGGTAACAATATCCTAACAACGGATAAACCAGTTGTTGCCATTACCCTAAATGCTAAACGTTAAGCAGGGAATAACAACTGCCGTTTTAAGGACATTGATATGTCCTGGCACGGAAACAGATCCTATTGCTTTCCTCACCTGGGCGAACGTTCAACGTGACAGTCAAAAGTGAGGTGTTGCCAAGCAATGCGCTAGGAAACAAAAGGTACTTAAAAGTAGAGAGAAATATAAAGATCCCAAATGTTGCAATGGATGCAGCAAATTTATTTTGAACGCTTTCGTGGTCCAAAATAGAGGACACAAAAGCAAATCCCTTATTCTGCAGGGGGTTCCTTATTAGCCGCCTCTTACGATACATGCATTGGGTAACAGCAGGTATATTGTTTTCTCAATCCCAGACCTGCACTAGACGTACGGATATATTATTAACGAGAGCAACACGCTGGCTCTCAGTTACTTTATTTCCAATTAAACACAGATATATTTGATGCATAGAGCCTGTAACTTATTCATGATTTCGGACAGTTGAATGTAATCAAACTGGAAAAAAGCCAGTTGTGTCGTTGTATAATATTCATATTTTACACACAAGATTGCAAAAATGTCGAAAGCGAAATACCAGTCAACATTTTTTTTTTAAATGCCTTTAGTTATTTTGGATGCGAATGAGTCAAATATTCTGACCTCATGCTCCATACGTTAATAACACGTAGACAAAATTAACATGAACGAAAAACTATTTGAAAACAGGAGGTCATTTATTAGGATACGTATGAGAGGGTGTGCATGTTACTGAATTCAATCACTTCAAGTGCAAACTATAATTTCTTGTCCACGGACAGTAAATCTTGTCACTAACGACATATGTCAGGAGCACTATATGTACATGATCATCCAACCGACAGGTATATCACCAGTGATGCGTTAAATTCTGTTCATAATTCATTGTGAAAAGCGTTTGACTACTGGAAATTACATTTTTGTTCAAAAGAAAAATACATCTAAGTGCAAAAGTACTGTGTAAATGTTTTATAACAATGCAACCACGCTATATGTAGAAAAAGCGAGCGACCAACGTTTATGACAAAAGCCATTTATATTTAGAAACTAAGGTACCAGACCGGAGGCTTACCGGTGTTCAATTTGATGGGCAATGGGAAGTAACTCCCGCTGCACCAGACTGTAATTATCAAATGAATGTCCAAACTTAATATTATTAATGTTAATGAAGTCTACAAAATGAACTTTTACATTATGAAATCAATGCCATTTCAATATGCCAAACTTTATGTCTATATCAATTATGAATCAATTACTTTATATAAGCTTATAATCCTATGCATCATTGCCACGAGATATCAGTCTACTTGTGAAAAAAGGAAAAATACCAATATCATCGTCCTAACCATACATGCATTATACATACAACATTTTAACAGTAATCATTTTATGCTCAGGGTCTTTGTGTTTTTAGCTCATTGCTTGAAATTCTAAACAAACAAAAAAGCGATTCTTTGTCATTTTTCTAACAATAATATCCCATTCTAAACAAAGGAGTTATTGTCAAGGTGAAGAAAATGCCATGGCGTCGTAATGTAACAAGTCCTACAAACTGGCGAATTAAGCTAATCCATGCTATAGAGTTATAAATGAAAATGAAAACGAAATTGCTTTTACGATGAAACACTAAAAATGATAACGTATTGTTAGTACAATGACCGTTTCTTTTTTTTATGAGGTTAAGGAACTTGATCATTGAAATAGGAAACGATACATCATCGATAGTAATGAAGGTAACATGTATGCACTACCTGTTGCCAGCCTACTGTTGGATACTGTCATCAATGAAGGGTGTCTCTGTCGTACTACAGGGCAGTTCTGAATCAATATTCTCTCTTTTTTCTTAACATCATCTCATATCGGTGTCACAGAGAGTAGTAGCAGTAATATATGGTCCAGTTTGGAGGTCCAACTGTTTCCGGGACTTGACCACTTGAACTGTCAGAATGATTAGACATTTCATCTTCAAAGATTGTATAGTCCATCTGTGGCGTCATGTCGACATCACTTTGATATTCAAGCAAAGTATACATAAAGAGCACGAACGGCGTGGATGTCGGTAAGGTGATTGGGTTCGTGGTGCTGCCATCATTTCTGTAAAAAAATGTATCCAGGTCTTATTTTTGCCGACATAAATGATCGAGATCGTAAACGAAAGAAAAAATGTCCCTGTGCTGTTATAGGATAAGGGCCAATATTTCTCCGCTACAGGAAAATGTGCAAATTGTAACGAAAAGGTAATATTTTTAATTATGAATATTTTGAAAGGCTTATAAATAAAAATAAAAATAGCATGTATATTTTTTTTCTTAGTTTAGCAATAGTAAATTGTAAAGCATAACAAATTATGGCAGATAGAAAATTATATAGAATTGCTATAACTAAATAATAATTTACATATAACTGTTATTAATATATTATTAATTTAGATAATACAAATAGATTCCTTCTGACCAGCCAAATGCTGTACAGCATGTGAGTACATATAACATGCATAAGTCAGGAAACTACCTAGGATTTCATGGTTTTCTCATTTAGTAAGTATGCAATGCGATAACTAATTTCATACCATACCTGCAGCAGAAAATCATGTATGCGTTACGGTCAAAATGTCCGTCCGGTAAGATTCCAGACATTGGTCTGATCGATTCATCATCATTTTCCTCATCCCAGTAAATACTGCCTTCATCGAATGCTAAAGTACAATAAACAAGTAAATACAGATTATTTCCAGAAAAGGATATTGATACTGAACCGAGTCGGGAGAACACATTATTAGGATGAGTTCAAAAAGTCAGGGAAGATGAAATTCGTAAAGAAGAGAAAGCACTAGAATGAATAGAGCAGTGGCTTATATTTTATGCCTGATTTGAACAATTTATTGTTTATAAATATATAAAAAATAAAGGTTTCCAACATCGCTTGTTAATATTTAAAAGACGAAGGCGGACCAGACTTTTTAATGTGGAGACTGATTTTGATATGGACACTGATACCCATCTGTTACAAATCATTGTTACATGCCGTCATTATTATATGAAAAAAATAATATAAACTTAAGAAATCACGTCCCGAGAATGATATACTAGCGAGTAACCGTTCACCACCTCAAGGCTGATTTATACAATGGTACGGGATTGAGGAAACCTGTGATAATTGGGGAGATATGGGAAAAAAAGAGATTGATTAGTTGAGTATTAAGTTTTGGGAAGAATTAAGGATTACGATTGATGGAGAATAGAATGAATTTGCGTATGATGACATACCTGATGGACATACCCCGTCATATCTCATGATACAATAGTCCCCGGGAGGACATACCTGATGGACATACCCCGTCATATCTCATGATACAATAGTCCCCGGGAGGACATACCTGATAGACATACCCCGTCATATCTCATGATACAATAGTCCCCGGGAGGACATACCTGATAGACATACCCCGTCATATCTCATGATACAATAGTCCCCGGGAGGACATACCTGATAGACATACCCCGTCATATCTCATGATACAATAGTCCCCGGGAGGACATACCTGATAGACATACCCCGTCATATCTCATGATACAATAGTCCCCGGGAGGACATAC